CACCTGAAGAAGGCTCCACAGCTGAAACATTGTGTTTCCTTTCTTCTCTTTTCAGCATGGAATAAACCTTTACTTGTTCCACATTGGTGGATAAGGCATGGACTTTCACAGCAGGGCAGGTGATGTAAAGTTCTACTCAAATGTCTTTCTTTCTTTCTGATTATTAGAACCTGTATATGTCACGCTTACAATTAAATCAGTATAAAGAGAAAGTTATGGTACAGTATATTTGTAGGTTCTCAGTAATTCTCAGAAAGAGTGGAAAACATGGGAGAAATGAAGGGTGGTTTGTCATTCTGAACTATGCTTTTAATCATACAAACAAAACACTAAAATGTCAGTAATCTCTGAAACATAAGGTAATTTCTTTCATTTTCTGATGTTGAGAAAATAATAGCTTTTTTTACATCTGGATTAGACTATGGCAATGAATTGTTTTCTGATCGCTGTGTTGAATCACTGCATTTAAGGATCCATTTTAAAATTATATTATACTTATATTTAAAGCACTTAATGGTCTGGCATTTAATTATGTAACCAAATGGTCACTATCCGTCAGCCGGTAAGATCTGCTGATATTGGCTAGTGTTGTACTTCAAGGAGGAATCGCAAAAGGCAAAGAGAAGCTACAGTACTTCTTGTTCTAACGTCCCTAGATTATGACACACTTTACCCTATTTAATTAGAGACTTACTCCAGTCCAAGGTGGAACTGTGAAATCTTGAACTGAAAATGCGTTTTTTGGAATGTAGATGTTGTTTTAATGCATTTTTAGTCTGGATTTTTTTCCCTGTACACTAGCTGAGGAAAAGGCTAAAAACAAGTTACAATGGGTCTCATAAGACGATTTACAAAACAGAGGAGCCATTTGATCTAGCCCATTTAGTAGTTAGTAAGTAACGGATAAAGGGATCACATCCAGCTGTTTCTTGAAGGAGCCAAAGTATTGTCTTCAAACCATGGCTGTTTCCCAACTCTCAAAACCCTTTGGGTAATGAAGTGGCTCCTGTTCTCAGTTTAAAAAAAACATTTTCAAATAAGAGTCAAGTTCATAAGTGTTTCTGGTGGCTTATTTGCAAACGTGTGTATTCTGTTTTCTGAAATATAGTATTTTCTCATTTTTGTTTGATTACAGTGAGGATCTTTCTACTCACAATTTCCTAAAGCTAATTACTATATATAAATAGAAATTACTCCAAGGCAAGATTCCATTTGCTTTCAGAAATGTAAACTGCGTTATTTTGTGATGAAAATTAGAATTTGTACACCGGTGTTACTGTATATCAGAGAGAAGGTAGTGGTGGAAGCTTAAACAATGTGGAACCTTCCTTGTGAGGCTTATGCTTCAGCAGTCTTCAGCCTAGTCTTCTACTGTCACTTGCACTGCACACAGCTCTACCTGCCAGGGCTCCTAATGGCATCCTCTCTCCCCTTTGCTAGATGGCAAGCCATTCACTGTGCTCAGCAAAATACAAGTAATTCCTAACGTTAATGGATCTTGGCTTTGGCATCTTTCGTTTTGTTTCCTAGAGACCAAAACAGTTTCTGCTTTTTGCTGATGGACCAATTGAACCAGATTGAATATTCCAAACCCAGTCTAGGCTTGCAAAAAATATGCTTTATCCTAACAGTAGCAAATGTTAATCGAACAGTTCTTTCAATGAAAGAAAATGAGAACGTCAATATACATCACAGCTATGTCCCTTTAAAGCTTCTTGATTTTCCCCCCTCATTTTAATTAATGGAGCTGCACTTACATAAGGACAGGTGTGTTTCCAGGCCTACATCATTTGAATAACACTGTTTAATACAAAAATCTTGAGTTGGTGATTGTAAGAGTTTACTTTAGTAGGATCATTTAAGGATGATCTCTGTAATGCCTAGATTCAAAATTGGATTTTTTTTTCGGTTCCAGAGGGCAGAGCACCACCTATTGGTCCACCAACGCCACTGACAGTTGCCAACTGGTTTTCCTTACAAGTGTCCCATGATCAGGCTACAGGGTCATAATGCTGCATATACAGTATATTATACACCTGAAGAAGGCTCCACAGCCGAAACGTTATTTCCTTTCTTTTCAGCATGGAATAAACCCATTACCTTTACAGTATATTATATATAGTCCACTATAACAGACATAATCTCCCTTGCTTTTAACTGAGCGTTTGATCATTTCTAAGAATGAGAATGATTTAAACTACACGACACTATCATTCAACAAGAGCTCAAAAAGTCACAAGGATCCTCAAGAGTGCAACAAAGACAGCAGGAGAAGATACATGTATAAAAAACCTGAGAACCCAAGCTTTTTTATCTACTCTGAGAGGTAGTCTTGATTGACCGTTATTTATAAGTCAGCGCATTGATACTTCTTTATCACACGGTGAAAAGTCAAAATTCCTTCCGGGGTGTGCATATATCGGAGAAAAAAGCACGGCTTCGCAAGTGTCTCAGCCAATCGGATTTCAGGACCGGAACTATCCCTTTTATAAACATGCAGATATACTGTTCCTACAGTACATACTTTCATGGATTTGACAACTTCTCCTTGCCGAGAGATCTATAGCTTCTCCAGATTGTGTGACCTGACACAAGTTTTTTTTTTTAATATCTCCGTGAACTTTATATGTAATCCATCTGTTCTTCAGTTCCAATTATGACCCCAGGACCATCTGTCAATCCACACGTTTTTTGTTTGTCCAGACCCAGAGAGTGCAAACCCGCCTTGCCTCTTACTGTTTCTTTATGAAATGTTATTTTTTATCTTGAATTTTACTGTTTCTTTCAGCATTCTTGTTCCTGAGCAGTTTATTTCATTTTTTGATGTGAAAAACCCTCGCTTATTCGCTCTGTGAAGGTTGTGCTGAACTTCATAGACCCAGATTTAATAAATGACAGATAAATGTGATTAATGTAACGTCAGAATATTTTGAAATAACATCCTTTACGAAATATATCTTCATGTGCCATACAGTACCTGTAAGCAAACCCCTATTTTCAAATCCCTGTGGTACAGATTTACAGTTTGTTTTACATTTACAGTCTCTGGTGATTGTTTAGTTACAATTTCAAAAGCCATTGTGACCGTGGCTTGTGTTTGTTTGTGTGGGGTTTCCTCCCACAGGCCAAAGACATGCCAGTAGCTTACTTGGCTTCCGTAGTAAATGGCCCTGGAGTGAGTGTGCTCTCTTCGATGAGCTGGTGTTGTTAGTCCAGGGTGTATCCCATCTTACGTCCATTGCTTGCCAAGTTAGGCTTGGACTCCCCTCCAATCCTCTGTACTGGATTAAAAAATGGATGTCTGGATCTTGCTACAGACCTTGCGGAGGAGAGACAGCATTGTTGACAGAGGAACTCACGGTGTGTGTGTAGGCCAAGAAGCCTTGCTCTTTGTTCTTGATAGCTGGTCATAAAGGAAAATTGGGTTTGCTCAAGAACTGTGGATTGATGAAAGTGGTACAAGGTCAAGCAGTGCCTTCTGTGCTTATACTGGAGCTCAGGGTGGAGGGAGTTATATTGTGAAACTTCGACTTGAGTGCCTTGTTAAGAGGATCATCTCAAAGCTCTTCAGTTTTCCCATTAAGATCATTGTCTTTAATTACTAGTCCTTGAAATGGATTTCACAACAAATTGTAACATCTATTATAATGAATATAATAAGTACACTATTCAACTTTAGGGTTCAAAACATACTAAATAGGGATCTGGCCATTACCTTTAACTTCAGGTGCTGAGAAGTCATTCTGCTGCCTGGAGTGGGGTTATCTGTGGGTGGTTTTGGAACAGTTTGGCCTGTGAGTCTCATTCATTGTAATTTGAATACTATACACCAATCCAACTGCTTCTGTGTTAGCGACCTGTCTAGGTCTTTTGCTTTCCACAGAGATATCTGACAGGGCTGCTCACTTTCTCCACCTCACTTTAATGTTTCAACTGAGCCTCTGGCCTGGGTTTAGATAAGGACACCTTTCCTTTCACCTTGACACTGGAACAAAATCTGAAAATTCCATATTCCGATTTTCAGAAAGATGTTATAGTTTATGGAAAGAACAATATCTGAATATCAAAATAAGATGGCATTGTCATACCCCTCTTTCTCATACTTTTTTTCTTTTCAAGAACCAGCCTGTTATAATTTCAAGGCTTATCAAGCAAAGGCTTTTATTCGAGTGGTTTGTTTAGTGAGAATGATCTCATCAGTTTCCAGGCTCCTTTTTTTTCTTGTATATTAGATCAAATCTGCTCTGTGTACATATAGAAAACAGTGCCCTCTGTACATCTAATGAGAAATCAGCTCACTTCTCACATTTCCTTAAACAGTACGATATCTGCCATTTATAATAATTTCTAAGATTGTTCCGGAAAAAAAACTCCTTAGCGTGTTAACGATGTGAGATTATAGCCTTCATATGTCTACCAGCTACTGCCTACTACTAGCATGGTAAACTGATGCTTTTTTTTCTGAAAAAACACTTAGTATTGTAGCAGTTATACCCCTACCCAGAATCCACAAAGATGGAGTGGTTTGTAATTTTTCAAATATTGCACAATGGGTGTTAAAATAAAGATGCTTTCTTCTGTTTGTCTTAGGCTGACACCCCACATGTCTTCTGCGTTGACCCCAGGATTATTAATTAACAGGGTGGACTCCCATGTATGGGTAGGCAGTTAGAGAAAGACTCTAGACAGTGTAACCAATACATACTCCTGTCAGTGCTTACAA